ATCCGATTGCTCAGCGATGAACCGATTGCGTATCACCCTTACCGTCTCGCGGAACCGGATAAAAGGGTCGTTCGCGAAATAATTACGGAATTATTGGACAATACGATAATTAGAGAATCAGATTCACCGTATGCGAGCCCGATTACGTTCGTGAAGAAGAAAACAGGGGACGTGAGGATGTGCGTAGATTATCGTAAGTTAAACGCCATAACTGTAAAGGACAAATATCCTCTGCCGCTGATCGACGATCAAATCGATAAGCTGGGAGGCAATCGGTATTTCACGGGTCTTGATTTAGCGTCAGGATATTACCAAGTACCCGTCGCTGAAGATGCGATTGCGAAGACAGCCTTTGTTACACCGGAAGGACATTACGAATTCCTTCGAATGCCGTTTGGGTTAACCAACGCGCCTGCTGTTTTCCAACGGTTGATGAATAAGGTTCTTGGAAATTTGAAGGACACCGTTGCATTTCCGTATTTGGACGATGTTATTATACCGTCGAAAACGGTAGAAGAGGGTATCGTGAAGCTACGGAAAGTTTTAGAGACCTTCCGAACACATGGCCTGACCCTTAAACTCGAGAAATGTTCGTTCTTTAAGAAAACTATCGAATACTTGGGTCGTGAAATAAGCGAACAAGGGGTAAGGCCAGGCCAACGAAAAATAGATGCCGTGGAAGAAATGCCACTTCCGACAACGGTCAAGCAGGTACGGCAATTCCTGGGATTGGCCAGTTATTTCAGGAAATTCATCAGGAATTTTGCAACGCTCGTGGAACCCCTAACGCGTCTCACACGCAAGGATGTACCGTGGAAATGGGGGGAACAACAGGAAAACGCTGTTTGGCAGGTACAAGACAAACTAACGTCGCGACCGATATTATGCATTTTCGATCCAGCTCGACCCACTGAACTACACACGGATGCAAGTTCTTTACGCGTTGGAGCCATACTGTTACAACAACAGGAAGACGGAAATATGGCAGTGGTTGCCTATTTCAGCAGGCAAACGACGGCGGATCAACGATGCTATCATTCGTATGAATTGGAGACGATGGCAGTTGTGTTCGCGCTACGCTATTTCCGAGTCTACTTACTGGGAATAGAATTCAAGGTGGTGACAGATTGCAACGCGTTGAGGACGACCTTTTCGAAAAAGGATTTATTGCCACGCATAGACCGATGGTGGTTGGAAGTGCAGGAGTACACTTTCGAAATCCTGTATCGACCGGGGACGAAGATGGCTCATGTGGATGCACTTAGCCGAAATCCTCAGCCGGTCGCTCTCGAGGTCGCCTACGTTGACATTACGGAGGCTGAATGGATAACGTCAGCACAAATGCAGGACGAGCAATTGTTACGGGTTCGAACAATTCTCGCCAACAAGGAAAAGTCACCCAAAACGAAGCACTATTTCCAGGAGTACGTGTTGAAGAAGGACAAGCTATACCGACGGCTAGCAGGTAACAAAACGGTTTGGGTCGTTCCGAAGAACGCAAGGCTACAAATATGCCGATTATGTCACGACGACGCTGGACACCTGAGTTCGGAAAAAACAATGGAACGGATTCAACGGAATTATTGGTTGCGAATATGCGACGATTCGTAACGAAGTACGTAAACGCATGTTTGAGTTGTGCATACTACAAACACACTTCGGGCAAGAAGCAGTGTAAGTTGAACACCATCGAGAAGGTGCCGACACCGTTCCATACGTTGCACATCGATCACGTGGGACCATTCGAAACGAGCAGAAAAGGGAACAAGTATCTACTCGTGATGGTAGACGCGTTTACAAAATTTATGATCGCGGAACCAGTAAAAAGCCAGAAGACTCGTCACACTGAAAAGGTATTATTGAATTTGATGTACTTATTCGGTGTGCCGACGAGGATAATAAGCGATCGTGGAACAAGTTTCACGTCGCAACGGTTCGCTATTCTATGTCGAACGTATGGCATCAAACACGTGCTTAACGCGGTAGCCACACCAAGAGCGAACGGACAATGCGAACGATACAATAAAACTATCGTTGACGCGCTAGCGACAAGTTCGGCAGGCCTGGATCCACGAGACTGGGACATTCAGGTAAAAAGGGTGCAAAGCGCAATAAACACCACGTGCAACAAGGGTATCGGTACGACGCCGACCAAAGCATTGATCGGATGCGACACGAGAACAGTAGCTGAAGGCACACTACTGAGTGTTGTACAGGAAGAAACGGATCGGTTGGATTTGGCTGCCCTGCGAGGAAGCATCAACCAGCACATATCCGAAGATCAACGGAAACAAAAGGAGCGGTATGACCGTACGCGAAAAGAAGCACGTACGTATACCGTTGACGAGCTGGTATTGGTACGAATTACCAGTGAACCTGCAACGGGGAGCAGCCGAAAGTTGCTGCCGAAGTACAAAGGACCATTCAAGGTTCGAGCGGTGCTACCGAATGACCGCTATGACGTAGAAGATCTACGGGAAGGGGCGAAACGGCTACGAACAGTCGTTGCAGCCGACAAGATGAAACCGTGGATTACGATCCAAGGGGACGACCACAATGATGAACAATAATCATCGATATATCCTTTTTTTTGTTGAATTCAAGTATCGTTGATTTTAGTACGGATAGTCGTTCGTTAACGATCGACTGTCATATAAGTTCGAATGCAATCTCACATTTATTTGAGTTTGGTTACAGAAACGTCAGGGTGGATCGAAGGCGTGAGGCTTCGATAAGCGCCAGGATGGACTTTGCCCGGCGACCAGGCAAAATCCGGCAAGCGAGGGCAACAGCCTAAGCACCTGACGAGGGAGGAGGACAAATAGGGGTCACTCAACACCGGTCCAACGGGACGGACCCAAGAAAGTTATCCTTCGCGGATACGACGGTATCTTAGCGAGGAAGGGCGTTGAGCCAAACGGACACATACGGTGTCAAAGTTGCTGAGCATAGGTACGCAGGTACCTTAGGCAAATATCCTTCGCGGGTACAACGGTATCTTAGCGAAGAAGGGCGTGAGCCAGACGGACACGACGGTGTCAAAGTTGCTGAGCATAGATACGCAGGTACCTTAGGCAAATATCCTCCGCAGATACAACGGTATCTTGGCGGGGAAGGACACCGAACCAGACGGACACGAAGGCGTGTCTCAGGCAGGGTGGTTGTCAGTAAGGGATACAACGGTATCCATAGTTGATCGTGAGTGGTGCAACGGTATCACGTCACGACGACAACCTTGTTATTTTCAGCCAAATCAAAGGACTAATTTTATTGTAAAGTCTGAGGGCAGACTTGAATGTCAGTATGGCCGAATGTTAGAAACGTAGAAATCAAGGAATGCTTGAAGCAGGCCATGTGCTTCTCCTTAGCGCGCCTCCCCCTCTTAAAGGAGGATCGGCCAGAATGTTTAGACAAAGAAGGACCGTACTGTCAAGGGTGCCCTCACGACCCTGGTTTTCTGTCAGGGTACAGAACTGTATTGGCTTTTGCCGTGAGCAGATATATTCTACAGTTTAAGAAGCAAGTCGTGTCGATTTATTTAAAACGCTCGACCGCTATCCAGATCCTGATAACAAACTATTCTTACAATCGTAATCACATTTTGCACATTATTCTAAAACATTTGTGGTATTCGTTTTTAATGCGATTTAAGTAAGCATGTAATGTATAAGATTTCATTTAATTTTTTCTTTTCTAGAGAAGATAGAGAAAAAGTTTAAATAATTTTTTTTATACATATGTAAGGCGTCGGGAAAAGGCGAGGCCCAAGCCGAGGCGCTGACAAGGGACCGCGTCTGGCCTTTGTCCGTCAACACTCCCACCCCTACCGATGGGGGAGAAGGCTGACGACAAAGGCGAGGGTCTAGGCCCAGGACGGGCTCATTTGTTTTTCCGACGCTGAAAGAACGGGAATAAAGCATGTATACGAATACCCTGCGTATTTCTTAATTCCTAATTCCACTCTACGCGTCTGTATAACATATATAAAATTTAATTCGTCCTAAGATTTATATGAAACATTTAAAAGATTTTTTATACATTATGCCTATACATATATCGGAACAACTATGAAACAAGAGGTATAATCATTATTATCCATGGACTGAGTATAGTCAAAGTCTAACCGGACTTTGAAATGAGAACATAAAACTTACATGTAAAGTTTCATTTAAATTCATTTAGCTATTTATACTCAATCGTAATAATAATATACATATGTGTGCTCATACATGGGAATAAAAAAAAATTTCTTTTTTTTCAATAATTAAAATATGATCAGGAGGTCTTAAAACGTGTATTTCCGTAAAATAAATTTTACAAAATTTTTTTTTCATTATGGGTACTTTGCTTATGTGCGCCTACATAAGTCGGAAAGTAAAAATGCCTGGGCAGTCGAGAATCTCGGCTCGAGAATCCAAATCGTATGCCGTTGACGGGAGGTCGGATTTCAGTTGTTTAGAGCGAGAAGGCAAATGTGAGCCTTTCTCTCTCGACTCCCACGAAGCGGTCCGAAATTACTTCGGGCAGCTTCGGAGAATCGAGAAAGAGGGCATGCGTCAGTTTGCCTTTGTCGTCTTTCCGAAACTCCACGAGCTCACGTACGCGTATCTGGCATGTGTGCGTGTGCACCCGACGGTGCTTTTCTGGCATCACTGCTCCCACATAAAAGTTGGGTCACACGGCGTAGACTCACATCTTCGTTCCGAGGCAGTTCGTTAATGGCGCTAATGTAGTTTTTTTGTCACCTACCATACAGCATCGTGTGTAGTTTGTGACGTAGTTGCTTAGCAACGGCTAAACATATATAATCTTTGTAATTATACATTTTTATTCCAGGTCAATTAAGTAGTATTTTAATCTACAATTACAATTTTATATTTTATTTTTGTATGTTTAAATGTAATATTTTGTCTAAATAACAATGCAAAAACAATTTCTCCGATTGGTTAATGCAAAGTGGATTGCAATCTATGTGATGATATACTTTATGTTCATAGCCTGTTCTCGTTGTGTGAAATCTATGTTGCCAGGACTGGCAAAGTTGCAAAAATTTTGAGACGTTCCAGGTAGAACGTAGAACGACTACATTTCCGTTTGATACAATTACGGTCAGTTACACCATATATCTCATTTTACGTTGCTTTCGTAAAGTTTTATAACAAGTGTAAAAATTCGTATAATATTATAGTTATTGTTACAAAGAAAGTTTACATTGTTGCATTACTGACATACGTGTCACATTTGTAAATGGTAACTGTGATATCGATCATTCGTGTTTTGTCGTTACCATATCTTCAATTTTATGCAACTAGTAAATAGTGGTGTACCACGTGATTGTCATTTATAAATGACCGTTATAATGAGTTATTGTATTCGATATTATGAAAATATTAATGATGTATGATGCACGATAATCTCGTTTCTTGCAAACTTTTCAAAACGCAGACGTCGTTTCGCGCCGGACGCTTGAAAATTGATTTTACAAAACATATTACGTGAAACATGGCGTCCTAAATTAGGTTATATGTAAAATTTGTCTCATTGTGTTTTCGTGAATTTGTAATCTTTACATCTGTTTTGAATTGTATTAAACGTATGAATGTAAGTTTTCATGTTAACATTAATAAATGTTAAAAATGAATAAATTAAGTTAAAAACCATTTTTTAATTTTTTAAAACTTTATACATGGGAAATGCATAATTCGGTCAGTTATTTGATTAAACGTATGACAGTTAAGCTTGTTTTGATTCGTCGTGTGCAATAATTTGTAAATGTTAATATCTATATAATGAATACTAGTAAATAAAAATTTAGTCTCTAATTATTTCAACGCAATTTTAAATAATATTTGTGACTGTTTGAAATTATGTTTATAGTTCAAGAGCTTGTTGTAAATATAAGCATGGACGAGCGTGTGACCGTGAAATATAAATTTATTAATATGCGACAAATATGAAAATATGAGGAGTAGCTGTAAAAAGGAAGACACTAAAGAAAAAGAAAGGACACTAAAGAAGGAAGACACAAGGAAAAAATATGTTTTTTTTTCTGATCCAGATATTATTGTTCAACGTGCTGAAACATCAGCAGCAGTAAGTAATTTTAGCTATTCTTGCTTTCCGTTCCTTTTTTTTTCTATCGCAATTTCAATATCATTAAGCTTATGAAACATAATTTCAGACAGCCCAAGTTAAACAAGATCTTGAATTTCAACAACAGCAGAATTATATTGTCAAGCAAATATCTGAAGATAAACCCAATTCACCAACTGAATTTGACTTAAAGGCCTTAGAAAACTTATTATCGTATCATCCCATCCAACCATATCCATTTACATTTATAAGTGCTGTAAAACGAAAACTTGGTTTAGATGATAATTCTAAAGTCTGGGGAAAAGTACAAGATCCAAATAATAAAAATGCATTTGATCTGTCTGCTACGGTATTAAAGTCCAGTAGTTCTCAGAATTTGCATGAGATTATACAAAAGATGGATTTTGTAAGACCATTAAAAGTTCCAGACTTGAAAATTTCTGCAAAAAAATTAGACTTTGCTACTAGAGAAAATTCTACATCAAAAGAATTAATATCTCCAAAATTTGATACACCTTCAATGGACCTTATTCACGAAAAAACAAGTAAGCCAACAAAGAGTTTTGAGCGAGTTCAAAGACGGTTAGATTTTTCAACATCGGACGTATCATCGATAATAACCAGTGAAATAGAGCCACTGAAGGTGCCAAATATTTCTATATCATCAAATTTGTCAAAGAAAAAAGAATATGTTCGAGAAAACTCTAGGGAGAAAGAAAATAGATCCAAGAGAGTGAGAAAAGATGATTCTTTGTTTGCGAAGCAGGATGAAGTAGGGCAAGATTTCTTCAAAAGATCTCGAAGCCCAAGACGTGTTTCTAGAAAAGACTTTTCTGATAATATAAATGAAACTGCATCAGCTATAAAATTAAAAAATGACAGGTTGCCATTTTATATGTCGAAAGACACTGATTTTGTTTTAACAAAACCAAAAACAAAAAATTTTGCTACATCTACTGCCAAAAAAGATACAGATAAAAGGCATAGATCTACTAATGCAAGATTTCTAAAGTCAAGAGATGCTTCTTTAGAATCTAAGAATAGAACTTGCAGTAATGAATCGCTTTCTGAACGTTCCTCAAAATTGCCAGATAAAATCACAGTCAGAGAATCTAGAAACATGTTTGAGAATTTGGATTACAGGTATAAGGACGATTTGCATACATTGAAACAAGGGGATGATCAGAAACATGTATCTTCATTGGAAAATAGGCAACTAAAACAGCATAAGGTAGCATGTCAGCTTCAAGGAAAATTAGGAAATGTATCTTTTAAAGAGCAAACCAAGAGGATATCTGAAAAAATAAAACCCTCTACGAGTAAAATAGAAGGCAAAACGTATGTTATGAACTCCAAGGAGTTTGAAGATAAGGAAAGTGTAACAGATTCAAACTCGAGTATAAGAACTCGAAGTCCGAATACCATTTCCACACAACAAATGAAAAACAAAGATTTAGAAAAAGTCGTACAAAATATTAATGTGCTTAAATCAAATAAAACTATCAACGATTCAAAATATACAAATAATACGTTACCACAATGCACTAGTACAAATACAAAAAAAGAAGAAGAATCGTTTACACAAAGCATTGCTACTACAATCAAGCAATCAAGTAACAGTAATGAATCTAATTTGAACGATAGTGTATTATCAGATACGTTATTTGATCCAAGAAGAATTTCATTCAGAGATGAAAATCGAATACAGCAAGAAGAATTTTGCGATTTAGTAACGCCAGAAGTAAATCTACCGCGATCTAAACGGAAAAGACAGTTTATACAAAATAGTAATATAGATGCTGATTCTAAGTGTTTGAAGTATAATACAGGTAAAACAGAAACGGAGCAGGAAGATATTCCATTGGTAAGTACATACACCTAACACAATATGTATGTTCTTTTCATTTACTTTATAAATATACTGTAAAAGTAACTACACACTTTTAGTTACATCCAACTGCTTTACATATGCAGTTTCAAGCCGAGTTACATCTTCTTGATTCCTTTAACGAGTCATTGAGGCAGGTTATGGACGTTGAAAAGTGTTTATATAATGTTAAACAGGACCAAGAAAAAGAGTTACCATTGCAGCATAGTCAAACAAACGACCAAGGAAAATCATATATCTCTAAACCGACAAGTGAAAGGAAAGCTGATGTTATGGAGCATTGTGATGAAATTAATAAATTACACAAACATGTTACAACCAATAAAGGTATGGAATCAATATATCGTTTGTTATGAAAATTATTAAGTATTAAAAACAATTATTATTATTGAAATATTGTTTTCAAATAATACAGTGCATTATACTACAAGTCAGACTATGGTAAATGAGATTGATAATCTGCATAAAATTAAGCCAGTAGTAAAAGCAGTAGAAGTACAAACTCAAACAGTAAACGACATGGCAACACAAACAGATATACGTTCAACTCGACGAAATGTACAAAGTAGATGTTCAGAGATTTGTGGTGTCTTATATGAACGAGGATTTGCTGGAGATAGCGAAGTTCCTCAGCTTTGTTTAGATTCAGCAGAACAATTTGAAGATTTGGATCAAATAGAAGAAATATCGTTACCTAGTAAATTAAGAACAATGTCAGAAATAAGTTTACATGAAACTACGTCATCTATACGGACAGAAACTGGAACCGAGATTAGCATCTCTACGCGAGATATAACTTGTTCTTTTAATAAATACTTAGATCTAGAAGTGAGTATAATTAGTCAATTAAGATTCCTATATCGGACAAGAACATATATTCAGTATTTTATCTATTTACAGATTGCACAATTAATAAAGGATGAAAAACAGAGGTATGATAAATTCGAGATGTTGTTTAAATCTCGCGAGAAAACATTAAATGATCGAACTAAAAAGTTAGTAAAATTAGAAGAAAGAAAACGCGCATTAAAAGATACCGGTCAAGATAGTCGTGTTAGCTCTGTAAAAAAGAAGCAAAGAGCTTTACTTTTAAAATTGCAGCAAGAAAAGGATGAGATGAGCAGGTATGTAATTCTTCAGAGAAATAGTATGTATCATGTGTCAAATGTGGTGCCGCGTCGGTTTGCGAATCGCGGGCTTAGAATACGACGAGAGGTCGGTTTGGTGTGATTCCGATTGATTCTCAGTGATTCTGACACGGACGATCGACAGCCCTGCCCTTATACAGGGTGTTCGGCCACTTTAGGAAAAAATTTTAATGGGAGATTCTAGGGGCCAAAATAAGACGAAAATCAAGAATACTAATTTGTTGATTGAGGCTTCGTTTAAAAGTTATTAACGTTTACTATCACGTGCACGCAGCTGTTCGCAGATTGCCGCTCAACAGGCGGAACTTTAAACGTTAATAACTTCTTAACGGAGCCTCAATCAACAAATTGGTATTCTTGATTTTCGTTTTATTTTGGCCTCTAGAATCTCCCATTAAATTCTTTCCCAGGGGTAGCCGAACACCCTGTATACGCTCTTCCGATCGTCTTTTAGATTTTCTTTGGGCTGGGTGCAAACGTTCCCGGCACGCGCCACAGAGTACTCCCAATAGTTCTTGATCCTTCGAGAACTGTGTCCATGACACGTGTCTTCTATCGATTTTGGCACCTGGTTCGCCAATTTCGAAAATAGTTTGAATTTAAACCAATGATTACACCATATAAATAAATATAGCATAAAAAAATATAATTTATTAAATGTCTCAACCAATGATTAAGGTTCTTTGAACAATTAAGACTTATAAGTGGATAAAGTTTGAAGACAATAAAGATTTTCAAAACTATAAAATTATTATTATACAACTATCAATATGCAACAAAAATTTAACATAAATTTCAGGTTGAAAGAGCTTCACAAAATTGCAAGTCAAGAACGTAAACTTATGTTACAAAAACAAAGGAATATGTTCAATCCTCAAATGTCTACTAAAAATATTTTAACTAAATTAAAAAGAAGCGCGGATAGTCAATCTCCAAGAAGATTATCTGGCCCAATGAAAGGTTATGATATAAGAAGTAATAGTTCTATGAGTTCTTTAGTTGATTCTGATAAGTCACAGCATGAACGATCTCAGACAGATGCACGCATGCAAATGTCGGAAAATGAGTTACATTTTGCTAAACTGGACCTACCAAAAAGTAATAAATTTACAAATTTTGTTGAGGAACCTGATGCATTGTTTTCTAGATTTAATAAATCTAACGAAGCTATTCAAGGCAATGTATCTCAAGAAAAGTGTCCTTATAAATCGCAGAAAGATGGAAACAAATCAAAGTATGAAATAAAGCCGAGAAAGTTTGAAGAAAAAATGCCTAGAGCGGATAACTTGAGATTGAAGTCGCATCAACATTCTGTCGATCCAAAATTGATATCGGGTCGTTCTATGAGCATATCTGGGAAATATTATTTTGAGAAAGAAAAATCTCCCGACGTTTCAGAATTGTTGCAACAGAATTTAAACAACTCTGTATCTGAACATGCTAAATCGGAATCTGATACTCTAGTAGAAGAGCTATCTAAAAAATCGAAGTCTTCTCATATAATTGATAATCATTTTCAAAGTATGGTTTCTCAGAGAGAAAGAGAATCTTTATTAAAAGCGGCAACCACGAACAGTGAGACTGTTCCAGAAGAAATAAGTTCTGTTAGCCAAGATACTGTATCAAAGACATCAAAATCATCCCAAGTCTCCGAAGATATTTTACAGACACATTCAAAGAGTTCTAAAAGAAGTAATAAATCAATTCCAACCGATATGTCTAAAAAAGCACAATCCAGTTCTGAATCTAAATCAAATGTTAAGCGCAGGACCTCAAAGTGTCAAAAAAGCAAATCATCGTCTAGCATACTTACGGAAAACATATTACGATCCAAATCCAATTCTCAAATGTCAGAGGAGTTTATCAAGCATCACAATAAACGAACAAGGATGGAAAAAGAATTTATTCAATCTGATAAAACTGATGAGAACACAATTTTAGATAGCATAGATCACAACGAGAGTCAAAGTTTTCTGCAAACTTTAACTAGGCATTCCAAACCTACAAAAGATAAGAATTTTAAATTATTGACTGATAGAATAGATGATTATGAAAGTAAAGAGAATATATTATGTCAAAAAATATTTGACAAAAGCGTAGAAGCCTATGAGAATTCCTTTCATAGTCAAGACAAGAGTGCACACAATTTGGATAATATGTCTACAAGATCCCAAGTCAGTAATTTTGCTGTTTCTCATCATAGTTCCGGAGAGAGTGACAGAAATTATTCAAAATCTGTAGTTGTCAGATCGCAAGGTCATAATTTGAAAACTTCAAAGAAACTTGAACAGTAAGTAGATAAATAGTTTTTTGTTCGTTTATGTTCTATCTATATTTTTTATTGTTATGATTTTACAAACCGTTTTTTTATATATTTTAACACTAAATTAATAATATTGCGCATCGCTGCAGACGTGTGTAAGAAATCTAATAATAAACTGTATTCACACCATGAAGTGAAGTATTGTAAAAATAGACTCTGCACCGGCGATCTGCATTCCACTGTTATTGCGATATTCTACTGTAGTAAAGAGTATCTGGTTTTACTATTGCAATTAAGCGATTTTTTCAAATAATTTTAAGTGTATGCCACGATAATTTATTTACAATTATTTAAATATTATGGAAAGTGTACTTGTTTTATCGGACGTGATTTCGGTGTTTAGTATTTTGAATGCACGCGAAGCCGCACTTACATCGCGGAAGAACTGTGTGGAAGAGTGGATGGCTTGGCATGCAAAATTAAGAACAGAAGAAGATCGTGTTGCACGAATGGAACAAGCTGCTCTTAAACTAGTAACTACAACATCAAATGTTTTTTCTCAACAAGGTAAGTTTTTATGTTATCTACTCTGTGTATCAATTACAGCTTAATTGTAACAAGGTTTTGTTTTAAACGAATATGTATTTTCTTTAACTCTGATATCTATCAGAGAGAAGTATGTGTCCCTTTATAGATACTACTGTCTCGTCCGATACAAGTGATATCGAAGGAAGAATAGAATTACTTACTGAAAAATTAGCAGAACGACGATTAGAAATGTCACGTTTGAAGAGAGAAGCTAGGAAGCAGACAAAACAAAAGCTTCGCGCTTTAGAAGCTAATTTGTTAAATCAAATTAAAGTAAGTAAACGAGTTACCTCTTAATAATATTTTTGATGTATTGTGTGTTAAATGAATTATTATTTGCAAATAGAAATATGATACAACCATTCATGAGATGCGTAGAAAACTGGAATCGAAAAAGGGATCAAGTAAAGACAATGATAAGTTGGCAATAGAATCAAAATCATTGGCAGATTTTAAAGTACCTGAAATTCCTCTGAAAAGAATTCAAGATATATTTAAAAACAGCGATTTGTTAAGGTCTAGATCGGAGTCTGATTTGTTGTCTACAAAAAGGCCAACAAAAGATTCTATGAAAAGTGTTAATTTATTACGAAATGAAAACATTGAAATTGAATATGATAAAAGTTATTTGGAAAAAGTATCCAACTCTTACAAAAATGTAAGAACTTCGGAACAATTAAACTCGGCGAAAATGGATACTATTAGTCAAAGTATTGAAACTATTCTTGATGAGAGCATACCAGAACAAATTGAATCTGATAAACTTGGTTCGATATCATCGGTTGTTTCCGATGATGTTGAATCCGATAAACATGTTTCTTATAATAGTAAAGTATATCTAGATGAAATGCAAAACAGACAAATTGTAACTGAAGAAAAAGGGTCTAGCATTTCGGAAGATGTTAAGACTGAAATTAGTGCAGCGAAATCTGAAGAAGATATACTTACACAATCGGAAACAAAACTTTCAAAAAATGAAACCACTATTCAATCTGATTTAAAAGAATATAGATCAGATTTTGAGACGGCTTCTGAGCAATCTCGAGCCAAAAGTATCTCGTTACAATCTGATGCTGATAAAGTACAAGATTTAGAGTATTCTGGTATTTCTTCGAAAAAATCTAACGTTGAAGGTTCTAAGACGGAAATTAACACTGAAACCGACAATGAAATGCTTGGTGTCTCCCGAAAGTTAGACTTTTTACGTTTGAATAATAAGAACTTGTACGAAGACATAAGTTCTCTTGAAAATGAACTCAAAATACTTTCGGAAATGATGTCACGTTTCAGTAAAAAATCAACCGAAGAAGAATCGAAGAACAATGAAGATAAAAGCACTTCGAAAGATATATCGGAAATTCTTTTGAAATCTGACGATAACAATGAAATTCATAAAATAACAACTGTAAAACAGAATAAAATGGAAGATATAGAATTAGAACAAAAGGAGACTGATCCTGATATTTCACAGTACTTGACCAGTGGTTCAACATTAAAATCAGTTAGTCATTTTAATGACAGCAAAAGTATAGTAGAAGAAGTTGATAATGTCATGTCTGTTATAATTCCACAAGACGATACGTCTCTTTCAAAATCAAATCAAGAAATTGATTATAAAGCAAGGAGTAAAGAGATTTTAAATGAGATTGAAAAATCGATAATGTTAGAGCATATTAAAGCCACTGAGAATAATTCAAATCGTTCAAATATATTAATTGAGAACAACAAAACAAGTACACACGAAAGAAATGAAAAAATGTTAAATGATTTTTCTACTGAGATTTGTAGGAAATCTTTATCTGAAATTAATTCGGAAACGACACAGGATAAAGAAAGCATAAATATAGCAGAGAATGCATCCGAAATAACATATACTTCTCAAGAAGACATAAATATTGAAGAAAGTTTAGTTGGCTCGCATAACTTAGAATGTCATCAATTTTTAGAATCAAATAAAAACTCTTCAACTTCAGAAAAGAGCAATTTACTTGGAAGGGATAAGTCATTAAATTTATATATAGATATCGATCATAGTTCAATAATAAATAATGCAATTAGTGTGCAAAGTCAATCAGAGCATAAGAGTGACGTAATTTCTCAAAAACTTCCACAGAATGTCACAAATCAGACGACAGTCGTAGAACCTGTTATTACCGAGGAGTTATCAAAGGAACAAATTTTACCACAATCTTCGAGTTCGACTGAAAAAACTGATGAAATTAAAGAAGTAATAGATTATATGAAAGATAATGATAAACATAAAATAGAATTTAGCAATAACAATCAGAAGGAAAGTACTTCTTTTATGCAAGATGAAGATACAGTATGTAAAGAAACTTCTTTAAAATCTGTTCAAACATCTAAGCAGGATACATCAGGATTAGATCACACTGCAAATTGTATTGGGAAAGAAATTAATAAAGATGAAAGTCAGTTGAGAGAAATTTCTGTGGATAAAACTTCGTTTGATAAAGATGATTGGACTATATCTAATTCGTTTAGCATTCAGCAGGATGTTACCAATTCTGAATTAGAAACATCACAAAATCAGAATTTGAAATTATCTAATGACGATTCAAACAAATTTTTAGGTACAGAGAATATATCTCAGTCAATTGATAACCCTAAAAATCAAGATCTTGAAGAGAATTTAAGTAGTGATATAGACAATGTGTCTTTGTTTCTTCCAAAATGTGAATCTACAAATATTGATATATATGGTATTAAATTTGACGAAACAGTACCAGATTATAATATTGAAATGACCAATGATAAAATTAATTATATATTGAGTATAATGACTGCAGACAACAACAAAGAGCAAAATCAAGAAGAAACTGTGCACACTATAGAAACTGATGATTTTCAAAAGACCATTTATGATTCTGTAACTAAAATATTGGATAAAGTTGAAAAAAGTATTGATAATAACTCAATAAAAGAAAAAATAGAAAGTCATTCGGAAATTAGAGAAAATAAAAATGAAATTAAGACAATAGTAAATAAGGAGTGTAAATCAATTTTAGATAGTTTTTACTTAAAAGACAATGTAAAGACAAAGAGTGAAACAGAACTTGATGGAAATCGAGAAACCATTTCTTTGGATACTAATAATGATAGGAATATTAATGAAGACATTATGACTACTAAAGTTCATACTGAACCTGTTGTAAATGTTAGCTTACATGTTGAAATTGAAAATGACGATGACACGATACATCAGATTGAAACTAAATCACAGGAAGTTGTAATAACAGAATTGGAACCTGGAAGTATAGAAGATGACATTTTGTCTGAAGTTGAAATTGACGCTAAAGTAGAATTTGCAGAAGAGGAACCTGAAGAAACGATTACATTCGAAGACAGTACGGAAACAGACGTACAAATTGTACAAGAAGAACTATTATTAGGACCCATAGTAGAACAAGATAGCTCAGATGGTGAACAACTTGATAATTTAATAGAAGTAGCTGAAAGTGGATTGGATACTATAGAGAAACAGATTTCCATCACTGAATCAGAATTAATCGTACATGATAAGACAGATACTCAAACTATTGGTATTTCAAACAGTAAAATTAAGACTCAGAAGAGTGCAAACACTTGTGAATCTGAAGATAATCTCGAAACAGTAGGAAATTCTGAAGTAATTATATTTAGTGCACCTACCGATGTGATAAATAAAACATTTAACATTTTGAAAGATCCAGATTATGAAGATATCTCGGAAGAAAGTCTTGAAGTGTCTGAAATTTTTGATAAAAGTGAAGTTCAAAAGACTATTTCTGTACAAAAGACATCATCTATACCAGAAAGATATGAAGCAGTACAAAAATCAGAGGAGGTATTGAGAATACTGGATGAAATTACACAGAAATCTTCAACAAGTTCTGATCATGACAGAGAGCAATTTCAAAGTAATAAACAAATTTCTGAGTACAGTGAACAACCATCAGAAGAGATTTCGAACAAAGATGATATTATACTTTCAAGAGTTGATGGTAAGTCTATGGAAAATATTCACAAGAAAAATGAGCAATCATTGGAAAATAATTTAGAAAGTCAAACGTCTAAGACAATAGCAACAGAAGAGGAAAATCGATCTATGGAATTAATTGTTTGCTTAAATGATACAGAAGACAAAGAAAAGTTGGAGCAAGAGATATTGTCTGAGTCGAGCGAAGACAGGGATACGCCGAAAAGTGTGTCGGAAATTGAGATGGATTCGCCCAGAGATTCTAATGATTCAAAATTAGACATTGATGCGTTAAATGATGACATATTGAATAACACTAACGCGGAAAGTCAAAATATTGATTCAAAGAATACATATCATGCTACGCCTATTGTTGCTACATCTGAGAAAGATATAGAAGTCATGATAGACAAATTAAAAGGTACATTTTTTATTCCTGTACAATATCAACTTTTACTTAACTATAAAATTAAGGGTAAACAATACGCAGTTTTGATACAGTTAAATTTGAATTTTATTAAGATACATTTTTAAATATCTATTTCATTTTATGAATATTCTTTTAATTTTTTAAACTCTTTGTGTTTAATGTGTACACATAAATTTAGAAACAATTAGGTCATTCAATTTTAAATAATGCTGTTGAATAGATATTTAAAAGCATACATCTTATTAAATGCAACTGATTAAATTTCACTTAATTTTATTCTACATTAGTTATGTAGTGTTGAGTATTGATGACTACACTATATGTACATATATATTACATACATTACAGAGACACGTTCTGATTTTTATAATGGCTGTATATTCTTGTGCAAAGCATTGCCTCGTATAGCCATGTATTGTTTATTTTCAGAATAGCAAAGTCGAGATAATAATTACTTAAAGGTAATACAACACGAAACTTTGAATGAAATGAACATTGACTTTTATATTTTTTTTTTTTTGTGGTAAAAATCAATGTCGCATGAGTGCTTGATTTTTAATTAGTAATTTCTGTATGCATAAGGAAAGCCTGTAAATATTGTGCAACACAACACAAACGTAAAATATTTTATCTTTTGTTTACTTTAAATATTTTTGGAAAGGAATTATCATCATCTACAAATTTTTACTTGGAATGTCCAACTTCATCACAGCTTTATAATATTTTATTAATGCATTGAAAAAATTTTGTTATCTATATTTGGACTTTTTATTTTAATTCTCGAAGCACCTAATCAAAGTAATATGCGAATTTATAGTGTAATGTAAAGATTCGTGTTGCTTTTCCTGGACTAATTATTTGTAAAGTCTCTTCTGCAGATCCATATTATTTCACATTTTTCTTTACACAGCATCGTTGGAACAACCTGGTTTGGAAGTCGCAGAATTGGAAGCGAAACTGCTTCGTATTGAACAACTTCAAATCGAACTAGAGGTAATAATGAATTTTTTAATTATTTCTTCTAATGTAAAAGTTGCTTTATAATATGCACATTATTCCTTAATAGATTAAAAAATTGGAAGCAGAAGAAGTATCTTATTATGTTAGAGAAATACCTAATAAACCCCCACCCCCCTACACACCACCCGGCGGTGGTGGACGAATTTCAGTGTCACTTGGGTCACCATCACCTCCACCAGCTGTGATTCCCTCAAACATAGAAGAATTAACAGCATTCACGGAGAAAGCCACGACACTCATATTCAGAGCTAGGGAGGCTGGAGAAGATATCATGAATTTAGAAGCTCCTCCTGAGATCTGCGAGTTAACCAAAGAGAACGATGAGAGTGTAAAGAAGGATAGAAGAATTTACAATACATTCCTCTTCGATCTGTGTAAAGAAACGATCGCTGAGGTTTATCAAGCCGAGTATGAAAAACCAGGACCAAGTTGGACGAAACCAAATGTAAAAACAAAACCTACGATGAAACTCCCGAAAACTGTAGAAGAACTTAACGAATATGTTAACAAGGAGGTAGCTACGTTGTTCGGTTTCAAAACGAAACTACAACGGGAAAATATGGTAATGCGTTGGAGTAGAAAACGAAGAGACAGAGTTGACGAATTACTGGCTAGGGAGGCTCAAGCTGAAGAGGACGAATGGACCAAATTTCATCACGATGAACTTGCTGTAAAAAATGGTCTTACTGTAGCTATATTGGATACCCTACTAATGGAAACTGTGAATGTAGTTAAAGTGGCATATGCGAAGAAAAGAAAAGTAATGGTTTAGTTTTATTACAAAGCTATCGTGATTGAGTTACCGTTACATGAATTTCGTCAAAACACAATTATTTGTCATGAAAAACGATAGGTATTAGGACCTTGATAATTGTAGAGAAGGGGGTTTAAACATTCCTAGAAGTATTGAAATTCGTACCTATACTTTTATTTCTTTTGGATCTGTTTTTGTCTCAAACGAAAGACAGTACTTGTTGCTAAGTGGTCACACCTTTTGTTTACTAATACAATATAGCAACGAAGTTCGCATAGAAGTATCAAGGTTCTACTATATATTATTTCGAAATTTTGTAAATTGGCCTCAATTGCCATATTTTTAATGAATTACCAAGTAATTCATTTTTATCTATTTGTGCCCTGTATATGACCCCTGTATATAGGCTGGTTCCTATTTATTCTTTTGACAAATTGTTTGCTTTTAAAGGATGAAGGTATGAATGATAATTTCACTGTAATAAAATTCAAGAGGTGTACGAGGTCCATTTTGCAAATTATAGAATCGTAGAAAATAGTTGTATTTAGTAGTCACGAATTGTGTAGAGAATTTAATAATCAAATACCCTAAATTCGTTTCGAATTTTTGTTAAAACTAAGATTATTGTTAGAATATATGGTATAATTACATTACAATTTATAGTTATATATATTGAGATGTAGTAACATACTTAATATAAGAATCCCATTGATATTTACTTGTAGAAGAAATGTAATTATCGATTCGATTATTCCGAGCGTTTTGTTCGAGTAGTTTATTAAGTATTATTATTTACACAGCGTATTGCTCAGATATTTGGTTAAACTTTATCAGCATATTCTGTTCATTGTGCCAATGAAAAAATGTCATACAAATAGTATATAATAGTGCTTTCAATAATTTTCTTCAAATTAAAGTTACATATATTATTGTTGCCTTTTAAAGATGCACTTTAAAGATTACTGACATTTTCTATTAAAAAGATTTTAAAACAGTACTATCACTTTTACGGTTATTTAGTATCTGTGATTGTTTACATTTCGCTGTATTATCCGAATAATGACAAATAATGAAATTTATTAATGTCACATTATTATTATTGTTGTTGTATGCACATCTTCACCAGTGCAATTAATAACAATACTGATCAAACTTAACTAAATATTTTAGGAATACATTGTATAGCATTTAATACGTCCCTTGTGTGATTCTTTTTATGTTCTATTAGATGCGTATAGATTTTAAGTTTATTTTGATAGTAATACTTTTACTGTACATGGTATTAACACCTAAAGCTTAAATAACATTTTAATCGGGAACTACGAGACGTCACTGGAGAAAAGTATTTCATGCATCCGAACAAAGTGCTCCTTCGGTTATTGCGTGTAATAATACTATTTGCGTTGTAGAAGTCGGCTGTGGAACGTGGAGGGATATGTTCTTATCATAATCGGGACAAAGGATTTTAATCGCTTAAAGTTACTTCCCCAATAAGCACGAACTTTATTTCTGCCGTCACGTTCCTGCTTCAACTGTGTGAATATGTATACATCATAGATATCCGGTATCCTTGGACAGCTTCTCTTCTATTCCTTTGAGGTTGGAATGAAATAAAATAAAATGTTAAGATAATTGATCGATGGAACGAGAGGTGGCTTCGAGCAGCCTAAATCCTTTGCCCCGACTATAGGCCGAGTTAAACTTTGTGGAGTTATGCTCAACTATTTCTAATAAAATTAACAAAATTTTGACTAAAAGACTGATACTGTAGGGCCATTTCGATTTAAATTGCAAACATTTTAAAGAGAAACGTAAATTCGTGGTAACCTGTAGTAAAAGTCGGTTACGAATTGGTGTTGAAAAAGCCTCTCAATGTTGATTGTTCGCAACGGAGAGATAGCTTCATGTTTTACATGTTTTAGTACTTCTATTATACAAGGTGTTCGGCCATCCCTGCGGAAAATTTTAATGGGAGATTCTAGGAGCCAAAATAAGACGAAAATCAAGAATACCAATTTGTTGATGGAGGCTTCGTTAAAAAGTTATTAACATTTAAAGTTCTGAGTGAGAACCACTATCGCGCACACGCAGCTGTTCACAGATTGCCGTCTCAAAGGCGGAACTTTAAACGTTAATAACTTTTGAACGAAGCCTTAATCAACAAATTGGAATTCTTGATTTTCGTTTTATTTTGGCCTCTAGAATCTACCATTAAAATTTTTCCCAGAGGTGGCCGAACACCCTGTATAAGAAATGATATACGCATGTATAAGCATTACATTCGAGTCATCAATTGATAAGCGTTAAAACTGTTTCGATCAGCGGATATTTCGATTTGGTTCCGTTGAACGTCAACTTTTAAGTTTGCGGTTGTGATATCAATCTAAAGCCCATGAAATGGTAGGAGTGATGTTGATTATTGTATGAATGTACAGGAACGAGCGAATGATACTTTAGTTTTAAATTTATTTGATTGAGCTTTCACACGACTTTTCCAACCGCTGTGAATGCTCGTCTTTTTAACGTGTGACCTCCAAACTTTTGTGTGATTAAGAAATGTACATACATACGATGTCGCTCAAACTTTAGTGTGCACATGCTTTCTCGTTGCAGAAAGTTTAGCTGATCTATAGTTATCGACCTTAATGATTTAAGTCTTTCGTCCGTTACGAAAAAAGTGCGATTTTGATTTCCATTGTTGTTTGATCCTTTTTGTTTGCGATCAGCGCGAAAGGCGGACTGATTGCATTTGTAGTTGTTATAGATAGATATTGTTCACGTACGTAGAATTGAATATGTACTTAACTAAACTATATTTTATAATAAATTTTTTGAAAAACTTATAAAGATTTACTTTAGAAAAGATAATTGAATAATATGGAATCTCTAATTTATAACGTGTCTTATAATATACAGTGAGTCACAGCTATTATAAAATCGTACACCACATACGAAAATATGTTTCATTCGAAAAAAGAAGTTTAGGAATGATTTGGAAAAAAATTAGGCAGAGTGAGCTCACTACTTGCTAGCTAGCTGGCCCACTTTTTGCTAGCTAGCTAGCTCAATTTTTTCTTTTTTTTTTGTACGTGGGGAAATCCTCATGGACACCCCGAGGCCCCAAGGCTCGGGTTAGTGCCGGACTCTTACCGGTTAAAACCCCACGGTGATCGTACTCCGGCGTTGCGGCGGGGGACCGGGAACTTTAATGAGATATCACAGAGTGTCCCGCCTTGCCTTGCCTGTCGAGGCTCATTCCGGGGGGAAGGACTACATATCCCTCCCCCCTGATTTCTCCGCCGCGAACGCCAGGTTACCCGACTCCCGTGGCCCCGGGGCCGCCTTCGTTGCTAGGGCCACTCGCACCAAGCACCTGCAGCTCCCAGGGGCAGCCCGCCAATCCCCCAGCCACCGACGTGGTAGCCGGGGGTGGGTGCTGATGGGCCGCCCAACTCTGTAGGTCCATCCGGACCTCAAAGTCGCTGAAGGAGGCCAGGAGGCGACCCCTCTCCGCCGCCCGAAAGGTGGCGGAATCCGGGAGGGTATTGGTGGGGTGGGTTTCGGCGCGAGTGGAGATACTCGCGCCGCGGCCCACTCCAGTGTCACCGCTGCCTCGAGCTGGGGCACGTGAGGCAGTGGTGCACCTCGCCGGTGGACCGCAGCGGTCAGTGTTACCGCTGCGGGGCGAATGACCACCGCGCGAGCCAGTGTTCGGCGGCCCCCCACTGCCCGCTATGTGCGGACATGGGGAGGCCAGCCGATCACAGGGTGGGGAGCAAAAAGTGCTCTCCCCCCTCCCGGAAGGGGAAGAAGAAGGGGCCCGCCCCGGTTCAGGCACCGCGGTCGCTGGCAGCGTCCACAATGCAGGTGGACGGTGCCACGGGGACGGACAGCCGGGAGGAGGCTGGGACGGCCGTTAAATAACGGCGCCCCGCCTCCTCCTCCAGGCCAATCTCAACCACTGCCGCGCGGCACAGGACATGATGTCCCAAGTCCTCGCGGAGTGGGGGGTTGGCCTGGCGGTCGCCGCCGAGCCGTACCGCGTGCCGGATCACCCACATTGGGTGGGCGACGCGGACGGTTTGGTGGCGACGGTATGGGGAGGTGGCGACGGGTCCCCGCCGTTCTCCATTCTGGAGCGCGGTCGGGGTTTCGTCGCCGTGGACTGGGGGGGAGTCGCCGTAGTGGGGTGCTACATCTCGCCCCGCAGCGGTCACGCCGCGTTCGAGCTGTACTTGGCCGAGGTCGCGGCATGCGTGCAGCGCTGCGCGGCCCGGCCGGTGCTAGTCCTGGGGGACTTTAACGCCAAGTCGGTGGCTTGGGGATCCCCTAGGACCACCGTTCGCGGCGGGATCCTGGGCGACTGGGCGGCGGGGCTCGACCTTCGGTTACTGAACCGGGGGTCGGAGCACACGTGCGTGCGGCGATATGGGGGGTCTATCGTGGATGTTGGATTCGCGACCCCCAACGCCGTGCGCATGGTGTCGGGTTGGCAGGTGGCCCCGGAGGCAGAGACACTCTCCGATCACCGGTATATCCGGATGGAGGTCTCTGCCGCCGGGGCTGCGTCCCGGCACCGCCGCCCGGATGGCACCCCACCGCGCCGCTGGGCGCTTCGGCGCCTGGACAAGGACGCCCTGATGGCAGCTGCCCTCGCTGCAACTTGGCCGCAGGTGGCGGCCGAGTTGCCAAGCATGGAGGAGGAGGCTGCCCGGCTCGGGGTACTAGTCGCAACCATTTGCGACGCGTCGATGCCCCGGGTCGGGCGAGCTTCTCCTCGCCGGGCGGTGTACTGGTGGTCGGCCGCGATCGCGGAATTGCGGGTCGCGAGTGTCCGCGCCCGACGCCAGTACGCCCGCGCGCGCCGTCGTCTACGACCGGACGATGGCGTGGCGCGAGCGAGGGCAGATGACCTGTATGAGGCATACCGGATGGCGCGGGTTGCTCTGCAGGTCGCCATCAAACGGGCCAAGGCCCAGGCATGGAAGGATCTCCTCCAGACACTCGATGACGATCCTTGGGGGCGCCCGTACAGGGTGGTGCTGAAGAAGCTCCGCCCGTGGGCGCCCCCCGTCACCGAGGGTCTTGACCCCCGGCTGCTGGAGGACGTGGTCAATACTCTTTTCCCAATTCGGGTGAGGGGACCACGTCCTCCGGCGGAGGCGGCAGTCCCAAGGGAGTGGGCGGCCGAACTGGGGGTCACTCAGGGGGAGCTGGCCGCGGCCATCAGACGGCTCGGGGCGCGTAACACGGCCCCGGGTCCGGATGGTGTGCCCGGCCGGGTTTGGGTCTTGACCCAGGGCGTCCTTGGGGCTGACCTCAGGCGGTTGTTCGACCGATGCCTGAGGGACGGGCGATTCCCCCCCAGTTGGAAGGTGGCGAGGATGGTCCTCCTCCGGAAGGAGGGTCGGCCCGCGGAGTCTCCCTCCGCATACCGGCCCATCTGTCTCCTCGACGAGGTGGGCAAGCTCTTCGAGCGGGTGATTGCTGCCCGCCTCGTCGAGCACCTGGCGCGGGGTGCCCCCGGCCTGGCCGACTGCCAGTACGGTTTCCGGGAGGGTCGATCGACCATCGACGCGATAGGTCGTGTCAGGGCCCTCTCGGAGTCGGCCGTCTCCCGGGGAGGGGTGGCTTTGGCAATATCCTTGGATATTGCCAACGCCTTTAACACCCTGCCCTGGGAGGAGATAAGGAGGGGGCTCGAATATCATCGGGTCCCCCCTTGTCTCGGGGCGGTCATCGGGGATTATCTCCGCGGCAGGTGGATCGAGTATCCGAGCCGGGATGGGCATATGCGGAGGGAGGTGTACTGCGGTGTTCCGCAGGGGTCGGTCCTCGGGCCACTCCTGTGGAACATCGCGTACGACGCAGTGTTGCGGGCCGACCTTCCCGACGGCGTCAGCGCCGTGTGTTATGCAGATGACACACTGGTGCTGGCCGTCGGGGCGCACTGGGGGAGGGCCAAGCGTCTCGCGGAGGAGGGGGCGCAACGCGTCGTCGACCGGATCAGAGGGATGGGGATGACGGTGGCGGTCCATAAGACCGAGGTGATAGCGTTCCATTCACCTCGGCAGGATCCGCCACCCCCTCTGATCCGCGTGGGTGAGGCTAATATCGAGGTGAAGCCCCAGATGAGGTATCTGGGGCTGATCCTCGATAGCCACTGGCGCTTCGAGGAGCATTTCCGCTGCCTGGTCCCCCGGCTGGAGAGGATGGTCGGGGCTTTGGGCCGGATTCTGCCCAACCTGGGGGGCCCGGCGGGCCGAGTTCGCCGCCTCTATGTGGCAATGGTTCAGTCGGTGGTCCTATACGGGGCCCCCGTCTGGGCGGACGACCTGGCGGCCTCCCGGCGCGGCATGACTATGCTGCGTCGGGTGCAGAGGCGGATGGCTCTAAGGGTCGTCCGCGGGTACCGGACCGTGTCACATGAGGCGGCGACGGTTCTTGCGGGGATGCCGCCCATGGATCTCCTCGCGCGGTCGCACGCGATGATGTATCGTCACCGCGTCGACCGTCGCGCGGGGGTGGGGGCGGTCCCGGGTGTGCAGGAACCTGCTTGGGGCGAGTTGAAGCGCCAGGCCCGGCAGTCCGTGGTGCACGCGTGGCAAGAGCGGTTGGCTCTGCCTACCGCGGGGCACCGGACAGTCGGGGCTGTTCGGCCACTCCTATGTGAGTGGCTGGACAGAGGCCATGGAAGCCTCACTTACAGGATGGCACAGGTGTTCTCGGGGCATGGCAGCTTCGGGAGATACCTGTGCCGGATAGGGAAGGAGCCGACGGCGCGTTGCTGCCATTGTGACGCTGAGCAGGACACGGCGGAACATACCCTCGAGGTATGCGCTGCATGGGAGGGTGAACGCCGTGTCCTGATCGGCGTCATCGGGCGGGATGTCTCGCTGCCGGGCATGGTGCGCGCCATGCTCGGCAGCGAGGAGAAGTGGAGGGCCGTGGCCTCCTTCTGCGAAATCGTAATGTTGCAGAAGGAGACCGCGGGAAGGGAGCGCGAGCGTCAGCGGCGTGCTGAGGCTCGCGCTCGTTTGGTGGCGAGAGAGCGTCGCCTGGGCGTCAGGCGACGCGGGCGGCCCCCTCGGCGTGGCGCATGACCCAGGCTGGGAGGGGGGTCCTGATAGGAGCCCCCTCCCGCCAGGCGGCGTAGGGTCGGACCGGATGGGGTGGCAGTGCCTCCTGTCCGGGTCCGGCGCACGGAGCGGCACCCTCGGTGGCCTGGTGCGGCCATGAGCTGCCGGCCTCCGAGGGGTAGAAAAGGGGTCGCGGCGGTTGCGAGTTGGGGCTCGCAGCCGCCACTAGACGCGGCCCCGGGACGGATGGCGGCAGGACGATGTGGCCTCGTCCTGCCGCTATGAGACAGGGCGATTACCGGGGGGACCGTTTGTCCCCCCGCGGGTGGGCGCAAAGCGCGGGCACGGGGAGGATACCGGAAGTATACTTCGAGCGATTCCCGGTATCCTCCCAAATCGTGCGGAAGGGTCACCGTGGGGTTTTTAGTGGGTAGGTCCCGCGCCCGTTATAATGGGCGCGGGGAATCCCACACACCCCTCCCGCCTCTCCCCAAAGAGGTGGGAGGGAGTCTTTCGAAGATTTTCCCCACGAAAAGTCGGGCATCGCCCCACCTCC